AGGGGAGATTTTGAAGCTTGTGAAGTCCACATTGATACCATTGGGCTCCAGGGTTCCCAAGCGGAATATGAGATGCTGTTCCTGCAACCTTCGGGTAGCATCGTTGTGGCACTGCAGGAGGCCCAGGATGGACATGTCGTCTGAGGAATGGGAGGGGGAGTTGAAATGGTTCGCGACTGGGAGGTGCAGTTGTTTAGTGCGAACCGAGCGTAGGTGTTCTGCAAAGCAGTCCCCAAGCCTCCGCTTGGTTTCCCTGATGTAGAGGAGGCCATAACGGGAACAGCGGATGCAGTATACCACATTGGCACATGGGCAGGTGAACATCTGCTTGATGTGGAAGGTCTTCTTGGCGCCTGGAATGGGGGTGAGGGGGCGCGGTGTAGGGGGAGGTGTAGCACTTCCCGCGGTTGCAGGGAAATGTGCCAGGTGTGGTGGGGCTGGAGGGGAGTGTGGAGCGGACAACGGAGTCACGGAGAGATTGGTCCCTCCCGAAAGCAGATAAGGGTGGGGAGGGAAAGATATCTTTGGTGGTGGGGTCGGATTGCTTGTGAAACGTCAGCTTTCCTGTTCCTCCAATGCTGCCTGGCCTGCTGTGTTCCTCCAGCTCCACACTGTGTTATGTCTGACTCCAGCAGCAGCAGGTTCTTACTACCCCTTACATAAGCCCCCTCCCACAAACCTAAGCCACGCCCTTTCACCTCAGCCGCGTCCCTGACACACAGGCCCCGCCCATCCCCGCTGACGCCAGCCTCGTCATCTAAGTCACGCCCCCTTACGTCTAGTCCCCGCCCCATGCCAGCGGCGCCCCCGTCCCCATGTGTTTCAGCCCCGCGCCTTTCCCCACCTCCGGGTGATGACGGGCAGCCACTCAGACCAATCAGGAAGGAGACGCCCCGTCGAGCTGAGGGCACGGACGCAGTGACGTCATGCCGCAGCACGGGTGTGGAGCGGTTTGCAGGGAGGAAGGAGGCCGGGCCGAGAGCGTGCGGCGTCGCCTTGGCGACGGGGCCTAATCGGCCTGGCGCTGGACGGAATGGTCAGTTGATGGGAGGAGAACGGGATTGGGGCGGGGAGAGAGAGAAGCGCCGCGCGGTCGCCAGGCCTAGCTGCTGCCTCCATGGACCGACAGTAGGGGCAGGGTGAAGGGGAGGACGCTGCAGCCGGTGAGAGCTGGACCAGCAGGCCGCAGGAGGGGGACTTTGTGCTGGCCGTGTCACTGCACTCACACACACATCACCATCAGATATTGGAACAGCAGGAGGCCATTCAGCCCATCGAGTCCCAGACCTGATCAGCTTCAAATCCCAATTCGCTGCCTTTTCCCTGGATTCCCTTCCTGATTTTAAAAAAAAACCTCTCTCAGCCCTCTGCGGCAAACAGCCGCCCTCCGAGAGAGGAAATTCCTCCTCGACGCTGTCTTGAATGTGTGACTACACCCCCCCCCATCACTCTGAGGTGGTGTCCCTTTGGTCCAAGACTCTCCCACGAGGGAAGGCCTAGTCCCACCTCCACGTACACCCAGAATCACAGCCATGTGGTTGACCCTGAACACATGGAGAACGGAACGACAAAGTGAGTCGTTAGAGATGTACAGAACAGAAACAGACCCTTTGGTCCGCACCGACCAGACCCATCCCAATCTGACCTAGACCCGTTTGCCAGTATTTGGCCCATATCCCTCGAGACCCTTCCTCGTCATATACCCATCCGGATGCCTTTAACATGCTGTAATTGTACCAGCCTCCACCACTTCCTCTGGCAGCTCATTCCATACATGCACCAACTTCTGTGTGAAAAAGTTGCCCCTCAGGTGCCTTTTCAATCTTTCCCCTCTCACCTTAAATCTATGCCGTTTGGTTTTGGAATCCCCTGCCCTTGAAAAATGACCAGAATTGAATGCAGTATTCTAAAAGTGGCCTCACCAATGTCCTGTACAGCCACAAATGACCTCCCAAATCTTATACTCAATGCACTGACCAATATAGGCAAGAGTGCCAAATGCTTTCTTCACCATCCTGTCTACGTGCCAGTCTACTTTAAATGAACTCTGAACCTGCACCTCTTTGTTCGGCAACATTCCCCAAGTGTTTCAGTCCTGCCCTGGTTTGCCGTACCCAGATGCAACACCCACATTTATCTAAATTTAACTCCATCAGCCACTTCTCAGCCTGAAGAAGGGTCTAGGCCCAAAACATCAGCCTTCCTGCTCCTCTGATGCTGCTTGGCCTGCTGTGTTCATCTACACCTTGTTATCTCAGCCCATTAGCCCATCCATCCCTCCAGTAGATGCCCATGTATAACTCATTCTCGTGAATTTGTTATTCCTTCTGCACTGTCGCACTTCTGTGATATCTTGTTTATCTTGAAGCAGCAGGGACAGTTTCCTGGCCCTGCCTCAAAATCGATGCAAGACTCAGTCAGGGCTCCTCTGTATTAACATCTCTTAGGAGTGACAGTGTGTCTAACAATGTCCCTCAGTACTGGACCGGGGACCATGTTGCATGGATTTTTGGGCTCAAGTCCCTATCGATTGGGACTTGAATCTACAAGAATTCTGCTTCAGGCGAGAGAGTACATCCAGACAGCATCTTGTGGGAACAAGTGGAAAATAAATTACAGTTAGTGTGGATTTGTTAAAAGGCAAAAGTATGTGATAAACTTGAGAGTTCTTCGGTCAACTGATGGGGAGATTGAAGGTGCTGCAAGTATATATGGACTTTCTAAAGACACAGGGCAGAGGTGATTTAACATTCAGGATGAATAATTTCTTCAGAACAGCTTTAACAACCCTGGAATTTATCAACAGAAGAAGTACAAAAACAAGGTTGCTATGTTTAGAGGCAGTGTGTGCCCATATGTTTGGAAAGATATGGAGGATTTGGACAGGCATCAGAAGAGACTGACAAGTACGGTATCTGGCTTCTGTGGACAAATCTGGCTGGCCAGCATTTATTGCCCATCCCGAGTGGCCCTTGAGAAGGTGGTGGTGAACTGCCTTCTTGAACCGCTGCAGTCCACCTGCAGCAGGTTGACCCACAATACCATTTAGGGAGGGAATTCCAGGATTTTGACCCAGCAACAGTGAAGGAACGGCAATATATTTCTAAGTCAGGACGGTGAGTGGCTTGGAGGGGAAATTGAAGATGGTAGTGCTCCCATATATCTTCTGGTTGGGAGTTCAGTTACGTGGAGAGACTGGTGACTTCATTCATTATGTTGATAATCATGAAGGATTATTTTGGATGAAATGAGATATATTTCTTCAGTGGCAGTAACTAAACACAAGCAAAGGTACTGATGTGCAGCAACTTGCGAGATCTTGAGGGGGACAGTGTGGAAGCAGATTCAATAGTAGCAATCAAAAGAGAATTGGAGGAGAACTTATACAATTAAAAGTAGGGCCTTGGGTAGTGCTGTAGAACAGATGTAGGAGTTCAGGTACATAATTCTTTGAAGTTTGTGTCACATTAGACAGGGTGGTTAAGAGGCGTTTAGCACGCTTGCCTCCATTGCTCAGACCTTTGAGTATTAGAGTTGGGATGTCATGTTGAAGTTGTACAGAACATTGGTGAGGCATCTTCTGGAGTACTGTGTCCAGTTCTGGTATGTATTCTGTTATAGGAAGGATATTATTAAGCTGGAGAGGGTTCAGAAAAGATTTACCAGGATGTTGCCAGGTATGGAGGGTTTCAGTTGTAAGGAGAGGCTGGATAGGCTGGGACTTTTTTCACTGGAGTAGAGGAGGTTGAGGGGTGACCTTTTTGAGGTTTATAAAATGACAAGCAATACAGATAAAGTGAATAGCAGGTATCTTTTCCCTAGAGTGGGGGATTTCAAAACTACAGGGCATATTTTTAAGGTGAGAGGAGAAAGATTTAAAAGAGACACAAGGGGCAATTTTTTTAATACAGGGAGTGGTTCGTGTGTGGAATAAACTTCCTGAGGAAGTGGTGGATGTGGGTACATTTAAAAGACATTTGGAAAAGTACATGAATAGGAAAGGTTCAGAGGGATATGGGCTAATCGCAGGCAAATGGGACTAGGTTAGTTTGGATTATGGTCGGCATGGTAGAGTTGGATCGAGGGGTTTCTGTAAGACTGTATGACTTGAAGGAAAAATATTTGTAAGGCTGTACGGATAGATTCACTAAAAAGCCAGCACAGGGTTGATGGGCCAAATAGCCGCCTCTATTATGCTCTAAAATATGTGAAGAAAATTTTCAAATTGGCCAAGTGGTTTTGCTCATTCACTTAGGCAGGCAGAATGGTGTTGCTTGTCCATTGATATACTTGTCCTGGTCAGTGACTGTGTGGGGTTCCAGGAGACTGGACTTTATGTGCTAGAGCGTGAAGTTCTGGTTCTTTAGGGGTAGATCCCACTTTGTCGTGGAGACTGTGTTTTTCCCAACAGTATTCCCTGGATGTACCAAAGTCCCTTATATCACCCTCCCCTGAGAAGTTCTGAGAATGGTCGTGAAACCATTGCAATCTCTTTGATATTTTTGTCCTGAAATGGCAGAACAGTGATTTATGTTCACAAGGGCATGTAATGTATCATCTGGAGTTGTTGTTGGTCCCATGATGTTGTTGCTTATATTCTCTCTGGCAGTGGCTGCACTTTGTTCTAAAGACCATACCCTCCCTAAGGGGAAGGAGCTTTCCACGGAATCGAACCCAAGAGTGCCGACCATGAGGACATGAGCACTCGGAACCCGATCTAGCCCTTCAGTACCTCGAGCGACCTGCACCGTTCAGTAAGATTCTGGCTGTTCTTCAACCTCAGCTCTACCTCCGTGCGATGGAATTGTTCTGCCTGCTGGGACTGGGCATTCGCGGGCTTGGCTTTACCCTTGACACTGATGGAGATCCTTTGAGCAGTCAGCAGTGAAGATTACACTTGGGCTGCAAGTGTCACTGAGCGTTTGGTGCAGTTAAGCTCGTCGGTTATGTGATGCACTTTCTTCTGATTAACCCGAATTCTCGCCTCTTAAAGGCTTTAGCTCTTGTGGGATAGCCATCGGGAGCAAGAATCCTGTTGGGACTTTCATTTTTTGGAAGAGAGGCGCAAAGTTGGATTGTTGTGCCAGGCCGAGGCCCCGATTGAGATCAGGTAATGTAGTAACCTTCAGCTCTGTCTGCTTTGTGGAGGGCTCACTGGACAATGAGGGTGGTTCTGGATGTGACAGGGTCATGTATTTTTAATCGGCCTTTCTGGTATTTCATTTGATGGTGGTTTTCTAAACCTCGCCGCAGAACGATTCGGTTTTGTTTCTGTGCGGTGAGCTGCTATTTCTTGAGGGCGACTGTGTTGAAGAATGTCCTTTTTCTCCACAGAGATATGGACTCGCTTGAAAATCAGCTCGAGCTGCTTCTGAAGGGAGGGGGCATCGAGATGCGGGGCTACGACTCTCCCCTGGAAGAAGTGGTGCCGGTAACTGTGCGGAAGACAGTCTGCTATATCGTCGCTGCGGTCATACTAAACGAACAGGTAAGAGAAGAGTTTCTCGCTAACCAGCTGTTAGCATCGGGCCTGAGCAGAACAGAGCCTGTGGCATGTGGTGCCAGTGTGGCATGTGGTGTCCTACTCCTGTCACTGTGACCACTTGGCTTCTCTCCCTTTTGCTTAAACTTCAATGCAATGTGCCTGGACTTGGGTGTACGACGTACAATTTCAGTAACTGTAACCCACACAAAACTTGCAAAAGTGTTGCGAGCTGAGAGGAGGACAGTAATCAACTTCAAGAGGTTGGAAAAATGGGCAGACTAGTGGCAAATGCAGAGAAGTGTGAGGTGGTCCTGCCTTCCTTCGCTCTTTCAAACAAAAGGCTACAATCAGAAAGGGGGATGCTGGAGCAGAGGGGTCATGAAGTTGGCGGGGAAATTGAGAAAGTGGTGAATGAGGCTTTACAAGTAGGGATGAAGGGCACAAAGCGGGGAATGTACAGCACGAAAACAAAACATGCAGATGCTGGGCATCCAAAATAAAAACAGTAAAATACTAGAGAAACCGAGCAGGTCAGGCTGCATCTGTGGAGAGACAAACAGGGATAGCATTTTGAGTCCAGTATGTCTTGTTCGGAACTTTAAGTGATTCTTAAAAAAAAAAACACACTTGTTTGCGCGAAACTGGAGTATCTCCTATTTTCCACAGCACGCTTTCAGAAGGATGTGATTGTTGTGGGGGGATTTCACTTCCCTGAGTAGATTGGACCATTCTCTCTGGAGAGGTCTGATTTGGTCAAGGTGTTGAAAATTGTGAGGGGTCTGGATAGAGTAAAGAGGGAGAAGGACAGAGCCAGCAGCATAGACGGCTGGCCAATGGACGGGAAACTTTAACACCTGCGTCTGTGGTCCCCGGCCCAGGCAAGCTCGGCTGGTCTGTGCCGTGCCCTGGTTGTTGGGAGGATCCTGTCAATCCTGCCCTGAGCCCCAGCTGCTCGCTTCAGCTTGTATCTCTGCCCGCTAGCAGCTTTGCAGACCGTGTGACCAACCTTTCTTGTTCCAGAAAGAGGTGGTGATGATGCAGGAGGCCAAGCAGGAATGCTACGGCAAGTGGTACCTACCAGCGGGACGGATGGAGCAAAATGAAACCATCGTCCAGGCCGTCAAGAGAGAGGTACAGGAGGAAACCGGCCTGGAGTGTGACCCGTACACCCTGCTGAGCGTGGAAGAGAGGGGCCCGCGTTGGATCCGCTTTGTTTTCATGGCCAGAGTCACAGGTTTGCATTTCTCCTTTCGGGAGGAGGGATGGGGAGGGGTGTGGGGCACTCAGCCAGTGCAATAGGATTGGGCAGGCTGGCACTGCGAGATGCTGAGTGCAAATCACTGTGAAGTTATCGATGTGACAAGCTGGGAGAGTGGGCAGATGATGAGGTTCAGTACAGAGAAGTGTGAGGTGATGTACTTTGGTTGGAAGAAGTTTGAAAAGACAATATAAAATCAGGGATACAATTCCAAAGGGGCTGCAGGAACAGGGGGATCTGGGGCTTTATGTGCAGAGATCACTGAAGGTGGCAGGAGGAGTGGAGAGAGCAGTTAATAAAGCACCCAGTGTCCTCGGCTTTATTAATAGGGGCATGGATTACAAGAGCAGGGTCTCGTGATGTTAAGCTTGTACGAGATACTTGTTAGACCTCAGCTGGAGTACTGTGTACAGCTGTGGGTGCAGCGTTATTGGAAAGATGTCAACACATTGCAGAGAGTGCAGAAGCAATTTTCAAGAACGGTTCCGGGGATGAGGAACTTCACTGCTGAGGATAGATTGAAGAAGTTGGGGCTGTTCTCCTTAAAGAGAAGAGGGAGATCTGACAGAGGTTTTCCAAGTCAGGAGCTTGGACTGGACAGAGTACATAGGGAGAAACTGTTGCTGTTTGTAAGAGGAACGAGAGTGAGAGGGGCATAGATTTAAAGTGATGTGCCAACGAAGCAAGGCTGATGTGAGAGATTTGTTTTTCACCCAGTGAGTGGTTAGGGTGAGGCATGCACTGCATGGAAATGTGGGGGAAGGCACGTTCAGTTGAGGCATTTGTGAGGAGCATTGGGTGGTTATTTGGATAGAAATGGTGAGCAGGGACATGGAGAAAAAGCAGGAGATTGGCACTAGGAGATGGAACCAGTGCAGGCACAGTGCAGGCCATTCAGCCTCCTCCTCTGCCACATCCATTCTGTGATTCCGAGCAATACTGAGGTGGGGTTGGTGCTTTGAGTGTCCTGACAGATGTGTGCTAGTTAGTGCTGTGAGTTCTACAGTGTAACTCCCAACCCCAGGTTCGATGTCAATGGATACAAGTTTTCAGGCTGGGGAGCTAACTTGATCATTTGGGGATGTAACATTGGAGGTACCGAGTCATTTCTTTGAGGGAGATCAGCAGGAACTCAGTGATCTGTACTGACAAGCATTTCCCAGAACCTGAGTTTTGTGGATAATTTTGTAAACAATTCCTGTTAGCAATGATAGGCGCATTGTTGGGAAACAGTGTTCTCTTACTGTTTGTGTTCCTTTAGTTGTACTGTCACGATATTTGCACAGATGATTCACATAGAACACAGAACAGTACAGCACAGGAACAGGCCCTTCGGCCCACCATGTTGTACCAAACATGGCGCCAAACACACAAACCCTTTCTGCCTGCTCTTGGTCCATATTTCTCCATTCCTTGCTCTTTCATGTGCTTATCTAAAAGTCCCTTAAATGCCCCTATCGTATCTGCCTCCACCACCCTTAGTAGCGCAATTCACACTCTTACCATTCACATCTCCTTTGAACTTTCCCCTCTCACCTTAAATGCATACCCCCTAGTAATACACCTTTCAGTTGTGGAAAAGGGTTCTGACCGTCAACCCTGTCAATGCATTCATAATTTTACAGACATCTATCAAGACCGGTCCCCCCACACCGCCTCCATTGCTCCCAAGAACACAACTGGAATTTTCCTAGCCTCTCCTTGCTGATATCCTCTCATCCAGCAGCATCCTGGTAACCCTCTTTTGCACCTTCTCCAAAGCCTCCACATTCTTCCAGTAATGTTGCAACCAGAATTGAACATAATACTCTATGTGTGGCCTAACCAAAGTCTTATAAAGCTGCAACATCACTTCTTGACTCTTGTACTCAGTTTCCCAACCAATAAAGGCAAGCATGCCATAAGCCTTCTTTACCACCCTACCTACTCGCGGGGCCACTTTCAGGGAGCTACGGACTTGAACCCCAAGATCCTTCTGTACGTCAATGCTGTTCAGAGTCCTGCCATTAACTGTATAGTTTTCCTTAACATTGGATCTCCCAAAATGCAGCACCTCACACTTACCCCGGATTAAACTCCATCTGCCCTTTCTCCGCCCATATCTGCAACTGATGTATATCCTGCTGTATCCTTTGACAACCTTCTACACTATCCACAACTCCACCAATCTTTGTATCATCTGCAAACTTATTAACCCACACAACTGCATTTTGACCCAAGTCATTTATATGTATCACAAATAACAGAGACCCCAGTAAGGATCCCTGAGGAATGCCATTAGTCATGGATCTCCAGCCAGAAAAAATGCCTTTCCACCACTACTCTTTGCCTTCTGTGGGAAAACCAGTTCTGAATCCAAGCGGCTAAGTCACCGTGGATCCCATGCATCTTAATCTCCTGGATGAGCCTACCATGAGGGTCCTTGTTGAAAGCCTTACTAAAATCCGTGTAAACAACATTCACAGCTCTACCCTCATCGATCACCTTTGTCACCTCCTTGAAAAATTCAGTCAAGTTACTAAGGCATGACCTGCCCAGCACAAAACCATACTGATTATCCATGATTAGGCTATGCTTTGCACGTAAATCCTATCCCTAAGAATTCTCTCCAATAGCTTCCCAACCACCAAAGTGAGACTCACTGGTTTCTAGTTTTCTGGATTTTCTATATTTCCCTTCTTGAAGAAAAGAACAACATGAGCGACTTGCCAGTCCTCCAGGACCTCTCCAGTGGCTAGCGAGGATACAAAGATTTTGCTTAAGGCTCCAGCAATTCATCTCTTGCCTCTTTCAGTAACCTGGGGTAGATATCATCAGGCTCTCGGGATTCAGCCACCTTTATGCTCTTCAAGAGACCTAACACCACTTCTTTCTTGATCTCAAAATGCCCTAGTATATTAGCATGCTCCACACTAATCTCATTATCCTCCATATCCTTCTCCTGGGTAAATACTGACACAAAGTACTTATTTAGGATCTTGCCCATATCCTCTGCCTCCAAGTACAAGTTATGTCCTTTATCTTTGCATGGTCCTACCTTCTCCCTAGTTACCCTCTTGTTTTTAATGTATCTGTAGAATGCCTTGGGATTTGTGCCTTAGCTTATTGATTTTAAACGTAGACAGTTCTCACATTTCATTATCAAGCTTACACTGGAGTTGAGCATTATTCGCAGAGAACTTTACGCTGTTAGACAAGTGCGGTTGTGTTTTCAAGGGCCGTCTGAGTCTGAAATTACTGATGTTATCCAATGCGATTCCGTTTGCAGGAGGAACTTTGAAGAGCACGTCAGAGAGCGATGCTGAATCGTTGCAGGCGAAGTGGTGGGACAGAGTGTCGCCCCTTCCACTCCGAGCCAGGGACATCTTAAATCTCATCTCCATTGCCGTGAAGTACAAGGAGAAGGCATCTCATCCCACCACTGTTCCTGTTGAGATGTCCTGCCCGGTTGTCTGTCACAGGGTACTGGCGGCCTTCCTGAACAAGAGCAACGACCTCTGGCTGTTGGCCAACAACCAGGAACACCCTCACTTCCCCGTGACGGCCTGTGGCTCGTCCTCAGCCGACCTCTCGTGCAGCGTCGAAGTGGCAATTTACAGACTGACCAAGGAGTGCCTGAGGGAATCGCAGGTCAGGGTGAAAACGCACGGCATTCTGAGTTTGCAGCACACCGGATCGGTCTCTGGGAAGACTGACGGGATCTGCTTCAACGTCTTGGTCACCATCGCCCCGCTAGAAGGCATGTACAGCCAGTTACCTCCAGACATCAGCAGCGTGAAGTATAGCTGGCACAGAATTGACAACGACGATTTGAAAATTCACTTGCTGGAGAGGTTGTCGTTTTCTTCTGTTGTGCCGTTCTTGAATTAAAAGTATTGTGGGAAATGATGGAGTCGAGCAACCACTTTAATTGTGTCGGTAAGCTTAGTCATTCAGCTGAACACCGCGAGCAGAAGTATCAATTCCAGTCATTCCCTCGAGCAAAAAGACTTGAGATGAGAATGGAAAGCACCGGCTCTGTTGCTCACCTTTCGATTCGCAGCAACACTTGTCCCAAACAGATGGACACTTTTTCACCAAACAGAACTCGAGTGAATGCATTAGCTGGCTCACAGCTGCACATGAGGGCGAGCAACCAGACGGCGAGAGTGAATGAATGCGTATGTGAGGGAGTGAGTGAACATGTCCCGATTGAACCGATACAAGGCCAACTTGGAGTTTGTCAATGCACTGAGTAAATGAATAAATGCCTGATGGAGCGTGTGGTTTTGTTGTGGACAGCTTCAGTGATTTGAATCAAATCTCTTCCTCTCCTCACTACCTGTCTGGAAGTAGCTTTTTGAAAGTTTCTCCTTTTTTTTTGTAAACGATAAACACACTGGATGAATTGGCCCCACACCGACTCTTTATGGACCCTGACTTTACAAGGACTACAGTACCACTGTGTTCATTCATGTAGTTCAGACTTAAAGATTTATGTGATGGACGCCTGATTGTAGTGGCTCGGGTAAAAACGCATTGATGTGTTAAATCAGCCATGTTCGTGTTGAATAGTGGGGTTCGGCTCCTGTCTCTCTGTTTAACCACATCCTTGTTCAATATCAGTGACTCCAAAATGGAGTCAGCAGCCTGGAATTCCAAAGCTAACCAACAGTATGAAGACTTGTAGGCAGGTCCTTCTCTTTAAAAATCCTTTTGAAATTCTTTGGAGGATGTTTGGTTGAAATGTGACTTCTGCTTCACTGTGTTGACAAAAGGAGGACTTTTTTTTAAAAAACTTAGAGAGAACAAGTATAGTGTTGGCAGCTATGTTCTCTTTCAAATTTACAGGCCTGAGGCTTTTGTGTTGTAGCCCGGATGATGAGTTTCGTTTGTAAATGTGGTGTGGAGCAGCATTGGCCCCTTTTAGTTCTATCAGCCCAACTGTTTCAAAATTGTATAGAGGCAATGGGTTACGAGTTTCTGAGTATGTTTGTGAGTCGATTTGCAAGTGATTCGGAACATAATACACTAGAGTATAAAATGGCTGTTTGTGAGTATTGGTAAATGTTCACATGTTCGCTGTTTAAAATTAATATGGGATCTTGTTTGTCAGTACAAGCATTTGTAAGTTGAACATTCAGAAATTGAGTACTGTCTTTAGCTGTAAATTGGGTTCAATATTGAGGCATGTGATTCAGACACCTGGAAATGAGTTACCATTGAGTCAAAGACATCTACAATGCAGACAGGGTTACAGTTAAGTCCAATCACACGATTATAGCGGTTGTCTTGAGTGGTGACCTTAAAGAGGAACAGATAAGTTGAATGGCAGATGTCTGTTCCCTAGGGTGGGGGATTTCAAGACTACGGGCTATATTTTAAGATGAGAGGAGGAAGATTTTTAACAAAAGACACGAGGGGCAATTTTTTTTTTTTTTAACAGTGTGGTTAGTATGTGGAATGAACTTCCAGAGGAAGTGGGGGATACGGTACAGTTACAACGTTTAAAAGACATTTGGATAAGTATATGAACAGCAAAGGTTTGGAGGGATTTGGGCCAGGAGCAGGCAGGTGGGATAGTTTAGTTTGGGATTACAGTTGGCATGGACTGGTTGGACCTAATGGTCTGTTTTTGAGCTGTATGACTGTCTGATTCTGAGCAAGCAGAAATTTGATGGCTGGAGTACATTGTGGCAAAGTGTGAGGTTGTCCACTTTGTGAAGAACAGTAATTGTTGCATTAATTAAACAGAGTGAGAGATTGTCAAACTCTGAGATCGAGGGATCACGGGTCCTGGTACATGAGTCACAAAAGGTTTGTGTCCAGCTCCAGCCAGTGGGTTAGGAGAGCAAATGGTATGTCACTTATTGTAGGGGGAATGGGATATACATGTTGGGATGTTGTGCTCCAGTTGCACAGGGCTTTGGAGAGGCTGTATTTCAAATATTGGTCTCCTAATTTAAAAGAGGAAGTAAATACAAATGAAGCAGTTTGGTGAGTGTTCACTGGACTGATTTCTGGCCTGGCAATGTTCTCGGGATTGGCAGGATTGGTCATGTGGAGTGAAGAAGAATGAGAGGGGAGATTGATGGATCATATCAGATCCTGAAGGAATTTGACAGAATAAACACGGAAAGAATGGTGCTCCCTGTGGGAGAGACCACAACAAGGGGACATAGTTTAACAAGCTTTCTGTTTAAAGCAGGAATGAGAACTTGTCTCTCCCCACACCACCACGCCCACCCCCACCCTCAACCCCCGGTCCTGAGCCTGTGAGAATAGCGAAGGTAAGATGATTACGAAAGGTAGATAGAATTATGACAAATGAGGGAGTCAGTGGTTATGTGGTTGATGGAAAATTGGGAATTGAGAGCACAGTCACATCCACCATGATCTTATTGAAGGACAGAACAATCTCAGGGCCAGACAGCTTACTCCTCCTCATATACATCTCCATCTCTTTCAGGTTCTCAGTCTGTCTCTCGGGCTCTCTCTCTTCAGGCTCTGCCTCCCTTCACTCTCTCTCTCTTCCCCCTCACCCCCCATCTTTCTCTCTCTGGCTATTTGGGATTCGGATGTCTCCTGCCACATCTTGTGCCTCCCATGTCTTCACATTCTGTCAGACAGTGAACCCTCACTTAGACAGTCCCATTCTGTCAGCCTCCTGGAGGTTTACAAGCAGGAAGGCTCCAGTAGCAGACAAGAAACAGCCAGGCCCCTGGGAGTGATCCGTGAGGGGTTCACAGTGACTGACATTCTCTCTCTGTTGTACCATACCTGACCTGCCTGTGCCCCACGGCACTTTGCTGCTCATTTTGAGTCAGAGCATTCATTCCACTTTTTAACATAATAAGTTCCAAAGGACAGACCTCTTTTAGTAATAAATTGTGGTCGCCAGTGACTTAGAGTTTGTGTCTTGCGATTTCCTTCTGATTTTAACTCAGAAACAGAAGATTCAAAAGTTCTGTTGAAGGAGATGGCGGGGAGCAGAAATATCTTTGTGTTTATTTGTTGACAAACTGTGGATGTCACTATCGAACCCGACATTTATTACCCGTCCCAAGTTGCCTTCTTGAACAGCTGCAGTCCATGTGATATAGGGACACCCACACAGTGCTCTTAGGGAGGGAGTTCCAGGGAACATTGACTTTGGATGGTGAAGAACTTGTTAAATGTGTTCAAGAAAATTTTCTTCATCAATGTGCAAGTGTTCCTACTGTAGGAGGAGCAAAACCTGACTTTCTCTTGGGAAATAAGGCAGGGCAAGTGACTGAAGTGTTAGTCGGGGCACACTTTGGGACTAGTGATCATAATTCTATTTGTTTTAAAACAGTTATGGAAAAGGATAACCTTTCCATAATTTTTTTAGCGAGTGTAAGGCAAATTATAATGATGTGAGACAAGAACTTTCAAAAGTTGATTGTAATTGACTATTCACAGGTCAGTGACAAGTGGGAGCCTTTCAAAAGTGTGACAGTGAGACTTCAGAGGCATTATGTTCCTGTTAGAGTGAAGGGTAAGGCTGGTAGGATTAGAGAACAAATCATATTAGATACAGACAACTGGGTTCAAATGAATCTCTTGAAGAGTGTAAAGAGTGTAGGGGCATTCGTAAAATGAAATCAGGAGGGCAAAGATGGCTGATGAGATAGCCTTGGCAGATAAGGTTAAGGATGATCCAAAGAGATTTTGAGGTATATTAAGAGCAAAGACCAACTAGAGAGAGAGTTTGGCCCCTTAAAGATCAAAGACATCGTCTTTGTCTTGAACCTCAGGAGATGGGAGAGAAATTAAATGAATATTTTGCATAAGTTTTTATTGTGGACAAAGAAATGGAGGCTAGAGCACTAAGGCAAATAAATATTGATGTTGTGAAAACAGTTCACATTACAAAAGAGGAAGTGCTGGAGATCTTAGCAAACATAAAGGTACATAAATCTCCAGGACCTGATCAAGTGTATCCCAGGATGCTGTGGGGAGTTAGGGAAGAAATTGCAGAAATATTTGTACTGTCTATAACCGCTGGTGAGGTGCCGAAGGACTGGAGAGTGACTAATGTTGTGCCTTTATTTAAGAGAAGCTTGGGAACTATAGACCTGTGAGTCTGACATCGGTGGTGGGTACGTTATTGGAGGTGATTCTGAAAGATAGGCTTTTCATTTATATGGAGAGGCAAGGACTGATTAGCGATAGTCAGCATTGTTTGTGCGAGGGAAATCGTGTCTCAAAAACCAGATTGAGTTTTTTTTAAAGAAGCAAACAACGAGAGCAGAGCAGTAAATATTGTTTACATGGATTTTAATAAAGTCTTTGACGAGGTTATGCATGGTAGTCTAATCAGTAAAGTTAGATCACATGAGAGTGAGGGTGAGCTTGTCAATTGGATACAAAATTGGCTTAATGGCAGGAGACAAAGTGGTGGTGGAGAGTTGTTTTTTGGACTGGAGGCCTGTGACCATAGGTGCTCCACAGGGATCAGTACTGGGTCCACTTTTGATTATCATTTATATAAATGATTTGGATGAGAATATAGGAGGCATGATTAGTGAGATTACAGATGATGTAAAAATTGCTGGTACAGTAGATAGTGAAGAAGGTTATCTAAGAGTACAAAGAGGTCTCGATCAATTAGGTCAACGTCCCGAGGAGTGGCAGATAGAGATTAATTTGAATAAATGCGAGGTGTTGCATTTTGGTAAAACAAACAAGGGCAAGACTTATACAATTAAGGGCAGGGCCTTGGGTAATGTTGTAGAACAGAGAGACCTGAGAGGTTCAGGTACATAATTCTTTGAAGTTTGTGTCATATGTAGATGGGGTGGTTAAGAAGGCATTTGGCATGCTTACCTTCATTGCTCAGAACTTTTGAGTATAGGAGTTGGGACGTCATGTGGAGGTTGTACAGGACTTTGGTGAAGTCTCTTCTGGAATGCTGTGTCCAGTTCGTGTCGCCCTATTATAGCAATGATATTATTAAGCTAGAGAGGGTTCAGAAAGGATTTATCAAGATGTTGCCAAGAATGGAGGATTTGATTGTGGGGAGAGGCTGAATAGACTGAGATGTTTTTCAGTGGAGTGGAGGAGGTTGAGGGGTGATCTTATAGAGGTTTGTAAAATCACGAGGGGCACAGATAAGGTGAATGGCAGGTGTTTTTTCCCTGGGTTGGGGGATTTGAAGACAAGGGGGCATATTTTTAAAGTAATCTTTTTAAAGAAAGTTTTATAAAGAAGACGAGGGGCAACCTTTTTTACACAGAGTGGTCTGTATGTAGAATGAACTTCC